AAGTTGAGAATTGATCGACTATTTTTTGTTTCTTATGGCAATAATATAACAGTAATTTCAGTCGGAATCCCGGCATTTTTCGCGGAATTGTCGGGATCTTGCGGGATCCCGCGGGATCCCGCAATTTTTTGAGCGGGATTCCGCACAGGATCCCGGACGGGATCTTGCGGGATCCCGGCGGGAAATTGCCGGGATGAAAGACATGGGATAGCATTTGCTGAAACTTTTGAATAGTGGATGCATTTGAGTAACCAATGGCAAGTGGTCTACGTACACTGAATAAGAATAACTTTGGCATAAGTAAATACGTCATTCCAATTCCTTGCAATGAGGAAGACAATCAGCCAGTTTAACAAATTTGATTATTTCACCACGTTGACGACAATGATCAACAGCAAAATAAAAATTGACAAGGTTTGGAAAGAGTGAGAGAAGAGAATTAAATTGACCATCATTAAACAGAAAATCACGAAGTCGTTCAATGTGTATATGTTTCATGAATGGAGAGCCAAGAGTAGAGAAAATCAATGAAGGTCATTTATCACTAAGTTTGAAGTGAAGCAAATTTAAATTGGGACACATGGAGAGAATCGCTTGAAACTCATTTCCATTTTGTCCGTTCGTAACAAATCGACGAAGAGTTTTTAGTGAACTAATCGTTGTTGATGCAAGAACTTTTTCTTCATAAGCATCGATAACACATATTTTTAAGTAGCGAAATGCACCTGTAAAGATGAATTCAGCGAGCATGATGGTACAGCAAAGTAAATATAAAGATTCAAGTAGAGGACATCGATTCGGATGAATAAATGAGTTCAGTTCATCAATTGATACAACCTTCCAGTATGCATAACAGGAGCTATGAATGTCCAACGAACGAATAGTGACAAAATTCAAAAAGTGAAATTCGGAAAGATGATATTGAGTTGGATAAGTCAAATAAATGCGTACTGCAACGAACAAGCCAAACAAGGAAAGAACAGAATTCAAATGACTTCTTGCCACAAGAAACAAATTGGATTGATTTTAGATAAGCAATTGATGCATAGAGTTTATCGGATGTGAGATATTCAAATATTTCGAAGAGAACTTCCACAGATAGATCTTCCAATCGGGATACATTTGACTCACTCATCTCTTTGACTTTCTGTTCAATAACAACAAAGCAATGTTTCCTATTGCTTGATATGTACATGGAACATGTCTTTATGTATTTGTCTCCAATCGAATTATCAACTGGACAACAGCGTCACACATCAACGAAAACTAATTCATTATTAACACCTATTCCATAATCAACGATTTATGAGTGACTGCTCAGAGAAAAGTAACAAAGAAAGCAAAAGCTGAACAAAGGTCACTACTTTTGTTTTTACTTTTAACGAATGCTTCAAGAATCGTGCATACGACGGTCTAGACGAGAATATGAAGCTTTTTTAAATGAATCTGTGAGTTTTTTGTTTAGTTAGAAAGCCCGAAGCGAATTATGAAAGAAATTTAAAATATATATGCTTCAATTCATGAATCTTGTAGATGCGGAAGGGTCACTAGTTTTTCATTTACAATTTCGATTTGATGGAAGAACTCTTTAGGACAATAACGATTAAAGATTGAAGAGAATGGGGGAATTATAAGAAAAAAGTGAAAAAAACAATTCATCATATTCGAAATTTTGTAGTGTTCTGAGGTCAAGTTATGGTCCACAACGAAGCTTCTCGTTAATAACTATAGCTATACATATAGCATGTCATTTGCTGACTTGTGAACGATCCTTCAGAGAAAATGAGGGAAGGAGAGCATTCTTAGGTAACAATGTTTGGAGGATAGACTGCGAAGAAGGAAAAAGGCGAAAGACGACAATCATTACAACTTTTGCTATCAATGTTATGATTCATTTTGAGAATTGATATTCGAAAAATGATCCCCGATGGTGACACACAACTTTACTCTTCCGGTCGAATCCACAGATCGAATGAATGCCAACACGATCAGTTCAATGTGAACACACTTTGTCTTCTCTATTCGACAACAGAAAGGGTTATAAACCAATTTAGTGAAATTTCCAATGACGTCCGAGTACCTACTGATCGATAAACACTTGAAATTGTTCCGTCAAAAACTTTTCTAGGAAGAGAAATACTTATTTTATGATTCACAATATATTTCATTCCTCTTATGTGAGCATTGAAAAAGCTTTGTGCTTTGATAATACAATGTAATAATAGAATAAAAATAGAATATCTACGATGTCAATTTATTTTACTCCAATCAATTGTTAATACTAGGTAAATATGTAAATCAACTGGTATTGTATGAATTTTTGAAAAAACCACAAGATTATCGCTTCGAAATTAGTTAAAAATTAATTAACGCAACTCTTAGATGTCTGTGCTAGGTTAATAAGTTATTGAGTGAAAAAAGCTTGTCTTCATTAACTGACAGTTGTTATTCTGCTCGATTCATATATCTATAGTTAATAGTAGTATGAATTAGTGTAATTGATTTTTAGACAGTTGTGGTTCTGCTCCTTTCGCAATGTTCGTCCGATGATCAGGTTGATATCTTGCCCTCTTTTTTTATTATTTCTTGTTTTGATGACTAGGCAGAACTAATGCAACTAATGGAATAGACTAGATATAGTAACGTTTGAACTAACCAATCATGATAGATTATATGATCATTTTTGATTCGTGAGATTCAGCATTCTTTGTTGGCAGATCATCTACTATTTATATAGTCCGTTCATCCTGTGACTAGCAGCAGCTGACAATACTTAATAAATCAATACTTCTATTGAAAAAAGCTTATACTTAACTTCATTTATCATGTCTACTACTTCATTATACACATTATATCGAATTCGAAATAAAGAAGAAACAAAGGCAATGCTATTAGAATATTTACCTAACGAGATTTTACTCACTTTGTTCGAATATTTTAATGGTATTGACCTTCTTCAGACATTTTATGGTCTCAATTCTTGTTTGAATCATCTTCTTTACAAGCAATTTCAATTGTATTGTTTCAATTTTAAATCTATATCAAAATGTACCTTCGATTTAATATGCCAACAACATTTACCGTTCATTGCGAATAAAGTTATTTCTCTTACATTCTCTGATTATCATGATACACCAAAACAAATGAATCTATTTTCTTCTTACATACCATCACTCCATCGATTCACTCAATTGCAATCGCTTACTTTATCTAACATTCACTCATATGATACAGTAGTACAATTTCTCAATGAATGTCATTATCTTTATAATCTCATTCATTTAACTTTCTGTTTTTATTCTCTTTTAAATTCCTCAGGTGATCTTCAATTAATTATTGATAAAATCTGGAATTTACCAAAACTCACTTACTTTCATTTTGATGTTAGAATCGAAGGACAACCGACTTTTTGTCTACCAACAATTATCTCCTCATTGTAACAAATTATATTGATGGTAGATGATTTATTTAAGTTGTTACTGCTGCAGCTTTTATTTTTTTATTTGTGATCACAAAGAGAAACTGGAAGAATAGTGTTACTGCTATTCTTCGTGTATAGGATGTTAACGTTATACACTTTTCCAACTCTACATCGTTCCAGTTCTACATTTTTCCAGTTCTGTTCCAGTTCTGCCTTACAACACAAAGCACACGCTTTATATACGCGCACACAAGAGAGAGAGAAGAACAGAAAAAGATATGATAGGCATAATCGCAATTCACTAATTACCTTTAAAGATGTAATCGTGTTACGCAAAGATATACGGATAACCTTAAGAAGAAGACCAGAAAGATTGATGATAGTAGTAGATTATACAACACTGATTGAAAAGAGCATATTGTATAACACACATCAGAAAGTATTCCTCCTTTCTGTATTACAACAAGAGAGGATAATCAAAAGAACGGAAACGCAAATATGTGAACAAGAAAGGATGTCCAAGCATTATTGGCACACTCATCTCCTAAATATCTATATCTACCTAAAAGTAAACTTCAATGGAATCAAGTAAATCGATTATTTCACTACGCACCTGAACTTAAACATCTTTCGATGCTTAATGAACCATCTGTTCTCGACAATCATATACTATTGCCACCTCCAGGTCTAATTAAATTAAACTTTTATTGTCCTGATAAATCAATCGCTTCGAAATTTGATACACTTTTACAAAATATGTCTAATTTATGTTATTTGTATATCCGCATTAAACATAGTCTGATCAATGGTTACAAATGGGAACAAATCATTCGTATTCATTTGTCGAAACTTAAAATATTTCGACTAAGAATGAATAAAGCATTTTTTAACAATTCAAATATACAATTAGAAAAACAAGTCGATAATTTAATTAATTCATTTCGAAGTTCATTTTGGATTAATGAACAACAATGGTTTTTTCGATGTTTTACATGGAACAAGACCATCGTTCTCCATACTATTTGTAGTACATGTAATTATCACGAATCGATAATTCCAGCCTATTGGCAATCAACATTTCCAGACGATAATCAACAACAATTTTATAATGAGATAACCAGCATTCATAGTGATACATTTCTTAATGAATTACTTTCGTTAAATATTTGTTTATCTAACATTGATCATCTTACTATAAAACTTCCTATCAATGAAAAAATTTGGTCGATAGTTTCAAATTTCAATCGACTTCGCTCACTTACTGTATCATCTCATACTGACACATTTCAATTTGAACTTCAGATTTTATTAGATCGAGCACCTTATCTTCAAACACTTAGGTTCGAACAAGATGTATCATTACCATTACACTTGTCATTATTCAATTATAGAAATACGTCAGTTTGTGAACTCAGTTTATTTGGCTGTGACTATCGTTTCAATGAAGAAGAATGTATTTTATTCAGTCGTTCACCTTTAGGTGTACAATGTGAAGTTCTTTGCATTGAAGTTAATAATCGTGAAACTATTATTCATCTCGTTAAACATATGATCAAACTTCGAGCATTACATGTTCATTACGATGATGGAATGAATTGGAAAAATTTGAAAATGAAAACAGCAGCGCAGTTTGATGAATGTTATAAAAAAGCAAGACAGATGATAGATCAACTTGTTCAATGGTTAAAAGATCATCTACCGCCGACATATTTGGTTATTAATGATCCACATTATGGTAACAATGTTATTTCAATATGGATTTAGTATAGAAGAAGATAAATATACTTTGAGTTAGATCATACATAAACATTGTTTGAATTGATGTAATCTATTCATAATCATCTTCTTGTTTTCGACTCATAAAAAAAGATTATAAATCTTTTTTGTAAAGGTCAATTAGAAATACGGTTTTGTTATTTTAGTATTGTATTTTCTCGTCTTTTTTTTCTAATTATTTATATGTCTAATGGTCTTTGTTAAAGAATATAGCAGAAAATTTTGAAGCTACTGTAAGAAAGTAAAACTAAACATTGGAAAATTAGTTAACAACGGTATTGTAATAGCAAAATATTTCTAATGTTTATAATATCAATCTATCAAATAAATGGTGATATTCTGAAAGAAGTGCTAATAATTCAAAGTCAATGTGATCTAAACTCTCGATGACATTCGATTTTCGTTACTCGTTTGTCTTATTCTTTCTTTCAAATAATTGTTGAATGGTTAAATATTTTAATATTATTTCATTTGATTTATATCAAAATATAGATAGATTATATTTTATGAACGTATTCTTCTTTTTATCGAGCACGATTCAATGATCTGAATATATTACTCAATCATAAGAATTCTTTTAATCAAGTATCATTTTATTTTTATAAATCACAATTAAGATTAAGATTAGGATAGTTGTTGTTTTTGAATAAGAGTTCGTTAAATAATGTTTATTCATCATTAGTCAATATGTATTTATTTGAATACCATTATTACATCCATATTACAATATTATTGTTATTTCATGGATTGCACATAATTACATATGTTAATGATAAACGATCTTTTAACCACTGAAGAAGATTATTATTTGGGGTGTGGGTGGGGTGTGGGTGTGGATCAGAATAGACTCCAACACCCACACCCTCGTTTAATACCTGTGACAAATAATGATTAAATACCTATTCATCACCTCTTTACTTTCTACATACATTATAATTAGATGAATTTCTATATTATTCATTAATCACTTTTGTGAAACACGACCTAAAAGGAGTGTTGAAGTGTATAGGGTAGAAATTTTGCCCCCCCCCCCCCCCCCCCCCCCCCCCCCCCCCCCCCCCACCCCCACAGATCATTTCATTCATAATATTATATCAAACTCACTCGCC